TCTGGCACACAGCTGTAAACTTTCGGAATTTCCTGAGTGGTGTGAGAGGACTGTCTTTTGTTATTCATAACAAGCATATTTCAACCACATCTGAGCTTATTAGTTTGTGTTAATGAGATGACTTTTGTAAAGCGAGAGACTGGTTGCCAGGGAAACCAGCTATCTGATTTAGCCTCCCTTAAAAGCCCTATATAGTACGGTTCAGAGAGCTTCTGGGTTAGTGAATGCATGGAGGTGCTTGGAAGGTGGTTCTCCTGGATAAAGCATGGAAACTGCACCTCTTCCTATATACTATGTCCTGTTCATCTCTTCCATTTGACTGTTCTGAGTTGCATCCTTTATAATAAACTGGTAATAGTAAGTAAAGTGCCGCCTTTAGTTCAGTGTGCTATTCTAGACTAATCCCCTGATCATTCCTTGACTTGTGATTAGCTTTGAAGTGGGGGCAGTCTTGTGGGGCTAAGCCCTTATCTTGAGGGATCTAATATAGGATGACCGGATTTTAACTTCTGTAAGGAGGGACAACATGGCCGGGTGGGGCAGGGTGGGGGCGGGGCAGGGGACGGGGCAGGGCAGGGCCTGACAACAATGCAAACTTTGATAAGCAGTTCTCAATAATCACTTCTCAGCAATTATTTGTTATTATTATAGTTTAACATTATAAAATCAACAAAAATAATATAAAACTCATATTCTGGCGAAATAGCCACAGGGCAGCCGAAAACCGTATATTCCCTTCTTGTTCTCCCACCTGTTCGTGCATTCTTTCCAAAAATCGGGACTTTTTAAAAACGCTGTGGGACACAGGACAAATTGTTGAAAAGCAGGACTGTCCTGCCAAAAGCGGGATGTCTGGACACCCTAATCTAATACTAACTTCAGGTATGCAACGTCAAAATTTAACTAAATTGTATGACACCCAGCTGGTGTCAGAGAATTGGTTGATGTGGGAATAAATTCCTATCCATTTTGTGTTAGAGTGTTATGAAGGCAGAAAACAGTTTGTTTTTATTAAAATGTGACACTAAAAGCACATTTAACAAAAGAAAAAATAGATAAATTCTACTTCCCCGAATTAAAAACTGTACATCAGGTTAAGAAAGTGAAAAAACCTATAGAATGAAAGCAGACATTTGCTAATCATATATCTAATGAGGTTCTAGTGTTTATAATTGTATATTGTGTCTCTTGTAATTGCAGAAGTCAAACATGGCTTGAGTATTACAATTAATTCAGTTTTTTTCTTTCTTAAAATGTATATACATTTCTTGGCATCCTCTATGTATAAAGAACTGTTATATCACAACAACAACAACAAAAAACCCCAGTTGAAAATGGGGAAAAGACTGAAATAGATACTTCTGTAAAGGAATATACAACAAGCTAACACAAATCATTAATCTTTAGGAAAATGCATATCAAAACCACAGTAAAGCCAACCCTGGTGGCTAATGCTTTAATCCTAGCACTCTGAGAGGCTGAGGTGGTGGGAGGATTACTTGAGCTTAGGAGTTGAGCAACAGCAAGACCCCTTCTCCGCATGACATAAAAAATCCTAGCCCGGTGTGTGCATATAGTCTCAGCTACTTGGGAGGTTAAGGCAGGAGGATCCCTGGAACCCAAAAGTTTGAGGTTTCTGTGAGATGGGCTGACATCATTCACTCAAGCCTGGGTAACAGTGAAGCTCTGTTTCAAAAAAGAAAAAAAAACACAGTAAGCTACCACTTCACACCCATTAGGGTGGTTTATAATTTTTTTTTTAAATGGAAAATAGTAAGTGTTGGTAAGTGTGTGGAAAAATTGGATTTCATATATTGTTGGTATAAATGTGAAATGTTTAGCTGCTGTGAAAAACAGTTGGGTGGTTCATCAGAAAGTTAAACATAGAATTACTATATAACCTGGCAATTCCACTCCTGGATAAACACCTGAAAGAATTGAAAACAGGTACTCAAACAAGTATCTATACTTGTTCATATGTTCATAGCAGCACCATATACAATAGCCAACAGGTAGAAAACAATCCAAATGTTCTTTATGGATAAACAGATTGTGTTATACACATATAATGGAGTATCATTCAGTTGCAAAAAAGAAGTGAAATACTGCTAAACGAGGATAATGTTACAATGAGGATAAACCTCAAAAACATTATGCTGGGGGAAGAAGCCAAACATAGAAGATATCACCTGATTCCACATATGTGAAGTATCTAGAATGGGTAAATTTATAGAAGATAAGACTTCTGATTGCTTATTGCAAGGGTTTAGTTGGAAGTGGGAATGGGAACAATGTTTTCTTGAGGGTAATGGAAGTGTTTTAGAACTAGGATAGAGACAATAATTGCATAACTTTGTGACTACCCTTAATGGCACTGAATTGTTCATTTTATAATTATTAATTTTAGGTTATCTAAATGTCTCCTAGTGTGTGAATGCATTACTTTCTTATAGGACCCCTGTTATATAATAATCAACATAATAGAATTGATTTAGTCATGGACATACCAGGAATTATGCATCTTATTTTGGTTACTTTTTTTTTCCATAACTATTAAAAATATTCTTTTGTGGTACAAGAATAACACTGCAGAATTGATTTCAACCTGTTGTTTGTATTACTAAAAGAAGTATGTTCATGGACCTTTATTTAATTTATCCTTTGACGTTTTCCTAGCATTTATACAAGCCTCTTTCTTAACATTTTGTAAAAGTTCAAGTTTGACTAGTTGTTAAAACTAGAGAGAGCTCTATTTGATTATGGTGAGAATTGGAGATCTTGGGCTTTTACTCTTGGTGGTATAACCATATACTAAATCAGGTGTCCTCAAACTACAGCCCACGGGCCACATGTAGCCCGCCTAGGACATCCATATTTCTTTCTGGATGTTTTTGCTGCCGCTGCCTGTCCTGCTTAGCAGCCGACTTGTCCCGGGGCCCGCAGTCCGGCCCTGCAGCGGTCTGAGGGACAGTGAACTGGCCCCCTGTTTAAAAAGTTTGAGGACCCCTGTACTAAATTGTTATATCTTAAGTTTACAAAAAATAAATTTTTGTATCACATGATGATGACCAGAATTCTAATCAACTAAGCTGTATTTTCATATCCATGGGAGGGATAAAGTAGTAATAAAGGGTCTGTTGGGGTGGTGGTCACACCTATAAATCTCATCACTTTGGGATGCTGAGGCAGGAGGGTCAGTTGAGGCCAGATTTCAAGACCCTGTCTCTACAAAACTTAAAAAAGTTAGCCAGCTGTAGTGGTATGAATTTGTAGTTTCAGCTACTTAAAAGGATGAGATAGGAAGATTACTTGAGCCCAGTGGTTGCAGTGACACTGCTATGATGATGCCACTTCACTAGGGTAACCAGAGCAGGGCCTTTCTAGAAAAGAAAAAGTGGTAAAACTGAGACAATAGTACTTTGTATTTTTATTTTTATGAGATAGAACTTGTAATTTTTAAGGAGGAACTTAATCTGTGGCCTGTGATGTTTGTTTCATGATCCCCAGTTATGGTTGATACTAATTTTTGTAAAATTATTTGTAGTCCTGGGATAGACGTCCTTTCCAAAGACCAAGTAATTAAGAAAATTATTCAGTATTGCACTTACGAGTTTTTTACTTTTGGATATATGCTTTATGATACACTTTAGCTAACTGCTGCATCATGAATATATTATATGTTTGCACATGCATCAATTTTGGTACCTGTTCTTAGTACCTGAATGATCAGGAAGCAAATACAGTAGAACCTCTGTAAGTTGACCACCCAAGCGACTGAAACAAACCGGTCAAAATACAGAGGTGGTCAACATAAGGAACTAGGTTTATGGTACCGATATGTACGGTACATATGAGGTGTGTCTTGTCTGTGCAAATTAGGTCAGCCTGAGGTGGTCAGTATAGGGAGGTGGTTAATTATGGACGTTGTACTGTTTGTCATGATAAAATGATTTTTACTGTAGTTTTCTGATGATAAAATGATTTTTTCTTAATATGGCATAAAATTATTCTCAGTATTGTTTTTAAAGCATATTTTTTTGTCTGCTATATAAAAGTGGAAATACCCATTTTCATTGAAATACTAAATCATATTGTGTTAATAAAATTTTTAGTGCAATGTAAATAAAGCTTGTAACTCTCTCATTTGTGGCTCACTAATCTAGCCACAGATCCCCCCACCCCCATGAAACAAGGTCTTAATCTGTTACCCCCGATAGAGTGCAGAGGCTTTATTATAGTTCACTGCAATGTCAAATTCCTGGGCTCAAGTGATCAACTCAGGCCTCACCTGAGTTTCTTTTAATGTTTGATTTTCCTTCTGCCTTAGGCGGCAACACAGCTGGGACTACAGGGGTGCGCCACCATGCCTGGGTAATTTTTCTGCTTTCTGATGTAGAGACTGGGACTCATTATTGCTTAGGCTGGTCTCTAATTCCTGATCTCCAGTAATCCTCCATTCTCACCCTTCCAGTCTGCTGCTGGTATTACAGGCATGAGCCACTGTATCTCACCTGAGTTTCTTTTAAGGTTTGATTTTTTTTTCCTTTTGCATCATGATTATTTTTGAATGAGAGTGTTATGTGGCACTAGAGTTTCTATTTGTTTTTAGTTCTCAATGTTTCAATTTCAGAAAGTGGTGTGAATTTAAGTCTTAGTTTTCTGTTTAAAGTAAATCATATGTAGTTATATTTAAGGTAGAATATTACCCCTAAAAGGAAAGCATGTTGGGAACATAAAAATGCAAGCATTATTCAGTACTCAGAAGCTCATTAGTGGTTACCAGCCCCAAGAAAGTAAATTTGTCTTTTTTTAAGTCTACTTAGGCTTATTAAATTAAAATATAAGTTTAAAATAAAACAATTCATACATACAAATGTAGAAAATAAAAGGGAAGTCTGTCTCCATCTCATACTTGTCTAGTCTGACGTTAACTTTGGTAAATAGAAAAGCCTAAATGGTTTTGTTTAATAATAACTTGTTAAATATTTTTAAATCATCAGATGAAAAATCAGTGCTGGAACAGAAACCTTCTAAACCAGCAGCTCCACAAGTCCCACCCAAGAAGCCTACTCCACCCACCAAAGCCAATAATTTATTGCGATCTTCTGGAACAATGTACCCAAAGCGACCTGAAAAACCAGTTCCTCCACCACCTCCTATAGCCAAGTAAGTTTTGCTCAATTTTAAATTAGCTTATTGATTTACTCACACTTGACCTAAATGGTTCTATTACCTTTCTAAATTTCAAAGTAATTTTTCTTTTTACATTTAATTATTTTTATAATTGACATATAAAATTGTATATATTTATCTTATGTACAACATGATGTTTTGAAGTATATATACATTGTATGTAGAAGGTATAAATCTGGCTAATTAACACAGGCATTACCTCATATAGTTATCATTTTTACATCCACTCTTAGTCGTTTTCAAGAATACAATACTAGGGCAGCGCCTGGGGCTCAGTGAGTGGGGCACCGGCCCCATATACCAAGGGTGGCGGGTTCAAACCTGGCCCCAGCCAAACTGCAACCAAAAAATAGCCGGGCGTTGTGGTGGGTGCTTGTAGTCCTAGCTACTCGGGAGGCTGAGGCAAGAGAATCGCTGAAGCTCAGGAGTTGGAGGTTGCTGTGAGTTGTGTGACGCCATGGCACTCTACCAAGGGCAACAAAGTGAAACTCTGCCTCAAAAAAACGAAACAAAACAAACAAAAGAATATAATACTATAGTCATTGTACCTTATAATAAATTTCTTAATTTCTCTTATCTAAGTATAAAAAGGTATTTATGTATCATTTGACCAACAGTGTCCCACTCCCTGCAGCCTATCCCCCAACCACTCCAACCTCTGGTAACCACCCTTTTACTCTCTGCTTCGATGAGATTAGCTTTTTTAGATTTCACATATAAATGAGATGATGTGGTATTTGTCTTTCAGTGCCTGGCTTATTTTATTTAACATAATATCCTCCGATTCATTCATGTTGTTGTGATGAATGGCAAGATTTTCTTCCTTTTTATGGCTTAATGGTATTTCATTGTATATAGCTACCACATTTTCTTCATTGCACGTTGTATATCTCTACCACATTTTCTTCATTCCCATGAAGAAATGAATGAATGTTCACAACAGCCAAGATAAGGAAGCAATGACTTCATCCATTGACACTTACGTTGCTTCCTTATCTTGGCTGTTGTGAACAGTGCTGCAAGAAACCTGGGAATGCAGGTATCTCTTCAACATACTGATTTCATTTCCCTTGAATATATACCCAGTATTGGGATTGCTAGATGATAGTTCTATTTGTAATTTTTTGTGGCACCTCCTTACAGTTCACAGTTATGACTGGTAATTTACATTCTCACCAGTAGTGCACAAGGAAAAAGATTTCTTTTTCCTCACATTCTGGCCAACGTTTTTATCTTTTTTTAAAGTTAAAATTTATGCTAATGTTATAAATATCATCTAAGAAGATTCAAAAAAACTGAGAGCTGGATATATACACAAACATCACAGGCAGTTTCTAGCAGTTTGGCACTTTGAATTCTCAGGGGACTAAGCACCATTCTGCCCCTGTTGGCAGTCTCCACACATGTTCAAACTCTTGGGAGTTGTATTACAAATCTAGTCAGGGCTGGAACCATGACAGTGACCAAGAGCTCTTACACACGGATCTGCAGATGCTGCTAAGCATTGAGGCAAAGAGGTGAAGAGGGTATATAGGGAGAAGGTTCTCTGCTGCCACCAAGACAAAAATCTGGATAATCCTAGAGCAGCTGAATTCTTCTACTAGTTTTTTGGGGCTTTAAATATTGATTGATGCTACATCCAGATCTGTATATGGCAAGATTAGGACAGGCAAGAAGTAGGAAGCAGAGAGGACTGAGAGGCCTGAGGAAAGGAAGAAAGTGAAGCTTGACCTAGAGTGCAGGCCCAAGTGAGTGAAGAGGAAGAGAGGGAAAGCTAGAGTAAGAGACTGAACATCTATGAGAAGGATGTTCCCACCAGCTGGAGGAAGAGCAGAAGCAGATATTCCAGGAACTTGACCAGAAGTTAAGAGGAACAGCAGAAAATACTGATGACAAAGGAACCCCAAACTAAAGCTGTGGTACAAGTGGTAGCAAGATGAGTAAAATGGCTTTTGATGAGACTGTTGGCTTTTGTAAAAGTGTGATGAGGTTCTCAACATGGTGCTTCCCAATAAGAAGGCAGGCAAGCATAGCTGGGATGGAGTTGTAATTTTCCATAAGAGAAAAAATTTTCGTTTGTTTTTTTACATTTTAGAATATTATAAGGATAACATGTTCTAGTTATATAATTCGCTTTTGTATAAATTTTAAGTAAAAGTTAACTCAGAAGTGTGCCATTCACTCAAAAAGTGTGCCCTGCACCCATTAGGTGTGAATTTATACAATTCCTCCTTCCTTCCTCTTACTCCTCCTACTTGATTTCTGTTGAGTTTTACTTCATGTGAGTACATATGTGTGTTGATCAATAGTTTCACTTTAGTATTGTGTACATGTGGTGTTTATTGTTTGTTCTTATGCTACTTCACTTAGAAGAATGGTCTCCAGTTCCATCTAGGTGGTTATAGAAGATATTAGAGCACCATGTTTTTTTTTTTTTTAATCCACATTTTTTTTTCCTTTTTAGACAGAGTCTCACTTTGTTGCCCTCAATAGAGTTCCATGGCATCATAGCTCACAGCAACCTCAAACTCTTGAGCTCAAGTGATTGTCTTGCCTCAGCCTCTCAAGTAGCTGGGACTACAGGTGCTCGCCAGAACACCTGGCTATTTTTCGAGATGAGGTCTCTCTGTGGCTCAGGCTGCTCTCAAACCCGTGAGCTTAGGCAATCCACCAGCTTCAGCCTCCCAAGTGCTAGGATTACAGGCGTGAACCACTGTGCCCAGCTAATCCACATTTTCTTAATCCACTTCATGTATCAATGGGCAGTTGGGTTATTTCCATATCTTTGGTATTATGAATTGTGCTGCTGTAAACATTTGAGTGCATTTGTCTTTTTTATAAAATGTCTTTTTTTTCCTTGGAATAAATACTTAATAGTGGAATTGCTAGATCAAATGGTAGACTTACTATTAGTTCTTTTAGATATTTCCATATTACATTCCATAAAGGGTATACTAGTTTGCAGTCCCACCAATACTATTTAAGTGTTCCTTTATCTCCATATCTATGCCAGCACTTGTTTTCTGGGACTTTTTGATAAGAGCCAGGCTCTAAGTGAGTTAGATGATATCTCATTGTGGTTTTGATTTGCACTTTGAACATTTTTTCCTGTGTTTGTTGGCCATTAGTCTGTCTTCATATAAAAAGTTTCTGTGCTTACTTTGTTAAAGTGTTCTTATTATACAGTGGTATTGAATTTTGTCAAATGCTTTTTTTCCATCTATTGAGGGAGAAAGACCATTATATATGGTCTTTGTTTTTGCTTCTATTTAGGAGGTAAATTACACTTATGGATTTGCATGTTGAACCATCCTTGCATTTCTGGGATGGAGCCTACTGGTCCTCAAGAATTATGTTTTTGATATGCACCTGAATTTGGTTTGCTAATATTTTATTGAGAATTTTTGCATCTATTATTCATAAGAGATATTGGCCTGTAAATTTTTCTTTTTGTTGTTGTGTCTTTTCCTGGCTTTGGTATCAAGGTCCTTTGTAGAATGAGTTTGGAACAATTCCTTCCTTCTCAGTGTTATGGAATAATTTCTGCAGTATAGATACAAGTTCTTCTTTATAGGTTTGGTAAAATTCAGGAGTAAAACCATCTGGTCTGGCACTTTTTTTGTTGGAAGAATTTTATTACTGCTTCAGTTTTGATGTTTGATATTGGTCTGTTCAGGAGTTCTATTTCTTCCTGATTGAGTCGGGCGAGATTGTGTGTTTCCAAAAATTTGTCCATTTCCTCCACATTTTCAGCTCTATGGGCATAGAGATTTTTATAGTATTGTACTCAGGGATAGTGTTTTGTATTTTTGTGATATATCTTTTGGATGTGGGCATTTATGACTATAGATTTCCCTCTTAGGACTGCTTTTGTTGTATCTCCAGATTTGGATAATTTGTATCCCCATTATCTCATTTAGTTCAAAGAACCTTTTATTTTCTGTCTTTATTTTCTCCTTGACCCAACTATCCTTCAGCAATAAGTCGTTTCATTTCTATAACTTTGTGTAGGGATGAGTGTTTCTATTGGTATTGATTTCTAATTTTAATTCTACTGTGGTCTGAAAAGATACAAGGTATAGTTTCGATTTTTAATAATCTGTTGAGATTTGTGTTGTGGCATAGGATGTGATCAGTCTTAGAGACTGATCCATGAACTGATGAGAAGAATGTATATCAGTACTTTGGGGGAGTAGAATGTTCTGTGTTTGGTAGGCTCATTTGTTCTAGAGTCATGTTTAAGTCTGTTGTTTGCTTTTATTTTCTGCTTGGAGGATCTGTCCCATTCTGTTAGTGGGGTGTTGATATCCTTGGCTATTAAGATGCCGCTGTTCATAATTTGTTTAGATCAAGTAGGATGTGCTTTTAAATCTTGGTACATCTGTGTTGGGTGCATAAATATTTAGGATTGTTATGTCCTCCTTGTTGCCTTGTTCCCTTCATCAATATATAGTGACCATCTTTGTCTTCTATATTTTTCTTGATTTAAAGTCTATGTTATGTTTTATAAGAATGGCTACACCAGCTTGCTTTTCATTTCCATTTTCATGGAATATTGTTTTCTATCCCTTTACCTTGAGTTAAATGAGTTCTTTGGATTAGTTGTATTTCATGGAGAGGGCAAGATACTTGGATTGTATTTTTTTTTAATCCATATAGCCAGCCTATGTCTCTTCAGTGGTACTCAGCCATTCATATTTATTGAGAGGATTGGTAAGTAGAGTGGATTTCTTTTGTGTAGAACATTATTGTTTTGTTTTGTCTGTTAGGCTGTTGTGGTATCTGCTTTGACCTTTAGCTTCTGGCTAGTTTTACCCTGGTGGTGTCTGTGGTGCTCATCTGTGTATAATGCAGATCTGAGTTCTTTCTCTAGGGTAGGTCTCATTATGGCAAATGTTGTTAATGTTTGCTTGTCATGAAAAGATTTAATTTCTCCATTAAATGTGAAACTTAGTTTTTCAGGATACAAAATCCTAGATTGTTAGTTGTTCTATTTAAGAAGATGAAAATGGGGGCCCACTCCCTTCTAGCTTGTAAGGCTTGTAGGGTTTCCCCTGAGAAGTCTGCTATAATCCAGATGGGTTTTCCCTTATAGGTCAGTGTTGTTTACATCTAGCAGCTTATTGAATTTTCTCTTTCATTTTGACTTTGGCCCAGTTAATTAGCTATGTGTATTGGAGGTGTCCTGTTTGCTATAAATCTTCCAGATTTTAGTGACCATCCTGCATCTAGATCTCTGGCATGCTAGGGAAATTTTCTTTAATAGTAACTTCCAATAAACTCTCCATGCTTTTAGTGTTCTCTCCTTCTTTCTCAGGGGTATCTATAATTTATATTTTCAGTTTGCGTAGCCCCATATCTCTCTGAGTGATTGCCCTGCTTTTGTCCTTGTCTTTTCTGCTTCTTTAAATGATTGTGTTAGCTTGAGTGTCTCATCTTCACGCCCTGGGATTCTTTACTTACCTTATCTTTGTCTGCTAAGTTGCTGGGACTTCCTTTTGTGTTTTAAAATTACCTGAATGACTCTTCTGTTTCAAGTTCCATTATATCTTTACTAATTTTGTTGAGTTCTTCTTTAGTGACTTTTTTGTTAATTTCTTTGAGGATTTTAGAGGCTTCTTTTTGCTTTCTCTTCAATTCCATCCATCTCATTTGTCAACCATATGCTGAATTCCATTTCTGTCATTTCAATAATTTCCTTATAATTGGAGTTTCTGGCTGTCCCTCTATTGTGATGCTTTGTGATGCCTTAGGGCAGTGGTTCTCAACCTGCGCCTCTACCCACAGGAACTGTATTAAATGGTGGCAGCATTAGGACGGTTGAGAACCACTGCTTTAGGGGTATTGATCTGTTTGGTTTTTCTTGTTGCCAGAGGTCTTTTGCTGGTTCTTGTCTGTGACTTCTTTTCTCAGCTAAGGGTTAATGGGCTTAGAAGGCTCTAGTTCAGTGGTTCTCAACCTGTGGGTCATGTAGGAACTATATGAAAGGGTTGCAGCATTAGGAAGGTTGAGAACCATTGCATCTAGCTCCTTACTGGAAACTCTCCTGCTTGATTCGAGTAAGGGGAGTTCACTAGATAGCCCTGGAGTAAGAGCAATAACAGCAACTGCTGATGTGAGTTCTATGAGTTGCTGTGGCTGTAGTGAACTGGTGACTTGAAGCTGGGGGTCCTTGGCAGGAGTTGGACTTAGGAGCAGATCTTTCATCTCTGCTGCATTGGTGGAGACTCTGGGATGGGGTCTTGAGGTTCACGTGCAGCAGTAGAGACTTCTAAATGATGTCTTGGGCCTGGTGTTTGTTCTGGAGGTACAAAGATAGAGCTTCAACCCTGGGAGCGCCTCAGGGCCCGGAGTGGGGAAGAGCCTGAAGCAGAGTGTCTGAGAAGGGCCTTGAGGAAAGGTGAGGAAGATGGGGCTGGTTTAACTGAAGGGTGGGCTCAGTGGCATTCCAGAGGCAGTTTGGGCCTGGAGGGCAGAGCCTGAGTCCACCAAGTCTCAGGCTGTTCCACAGGCTTTAGGGCTATTCTGCAGGTTTTAGAATCACTAGAATGCCAGGTCCAGCAGGCTGGTGTTGATAAGGACTGCCCTGGGACCACAGAGCTCTTCATGCCCTTCCCAGTACTTGCCGAAGTGAAGCCGCAGTCCACTGCCTATTGGGTCTGCTGCACTTTGTCCCTGTCAGTACCCATGCTCAAATCCCCTTGTGTTCAATGGAAGAAGCTCTTGGTTTCAAGTTACTGGGTATAACTTGGGGAAACCACACGTCACTGCACTCCTTCCCTAGCTCAGTGTAGGTAGGGCTGGTGTGGTGCACCTGAGAGCTCAGGATGGCTTAACTGCTGTCCCATCCCCACTGTGCTTGCTGTCTGGTGCAAACCACCAGAAGTCTGTGGGGTAGAGGAGAGGGTGCCAGCCGTAGCTCAGTTCACACAGCACTAGCCCAGGGAGCCTGGTACTTTAGCACTGTCTGTTCATCTTGAGTCCCATACTCTCTGATCTGTGTGTATCTCCTCGTCACCCTTTTCCCCACTCTGCATCCCATGTTGCTTTGCGATTTCACAATGCTATTTCTGCGTAGTGATGTAAATGGAATCAGCTATCTACTTTCACTAGTTTCTTGGGAGCAGTGTGTTAGCAGGTTGCTTCTAGTCCACCATTTTTTGCTGTCTGTAGGTGAGTTTGTTACTGTCAAGGTTGTGGAGCTGGCTTTCTGGAATAAAGTTTGCCTAGGTGATAACACTGACAATTTCCCAATTAGAGTGATGGCCCACAGTGCCATGGGCCTTAGCTACCAGGACTGTCAGAGGGATCTGTGTTCTCTCTCCCCATGATGTGCATGCAGCAGTTGACCACCCAGATGCTGTAGGAAGTCACTGAGGGACAGATTACTTAGCTTCTGGCTCCAGCCCTCCCAACCTACAGCTTGCTTTGTAAACATTACTGGAGGAGCATTCTGTACATTTTAACTTAGCGCTATTGCTTGCTTTCAGATCAATTCTTCTCTTGTTGCAGTTTAATTTTTTCAGTATGTTTTATAATTTTTCATAATACTGTTAAAGGTTAATTTATTCACAGTAGATGAAAATAAATGAATATATTAACTCATTAAAATGTTTTTTATATTTTTTGTTTTATTGTGATTAGGGTAGAGGTTTACATTTATGAAAATACTTTTACAGAACAGAAAATAATCCATATTTTATAAAATATTTACTGTCATTAAATCACAGTTTTAAAAAGTTAAATTTCACATATAAGTGATTTATACATATGTTTTTCTCATTTTAGGATGAATGGGGATGTTTCTACCATTTCATCAAAATTTGAAAGTGAACCAGTATCAAAACCAAAGCTAGATTCTGAACAGTTGCCACTTAGACCAAAATCAGTAGACCTTGATTCATTTACAGTAAAGAGCTCTAAGGAAACAGGTAAGTCAGCCTGAATGAACAAAGGTGGTGTATTAAAAAAAGTTGTCAATACAGTTTTCAGGAGGTATATAAAATATATGCATATAGTTTGTGTGTGGATAGATTTAGTGGAGGTTATACATTTAGAATTTGTTTTAAATTAGCCAAAGTAGAAAAACTAACTTGAAAGAAGATAATGTAGATAAGTTTTTTATGGTTCTTGTTGGTCAGAGGTTTCTTACTGATCAGAGGACTGAGTGGTCAGAGGACTAATTGGAATGCTACAAAAAGGTCCATCCGTTATTCCATCCTTTCATAATGGTATGATCTTACTACCCGAATCAGGCGAATATGAGTATATTTTAGTTTTAAACATTTAACAATGAGGTGGTATAGATTTTCATTGCCATGTTATATTTAATAAGACTTTTAATATTTCTTTCCTTCTTTGGAGATACTTTTGTTTCCATATAAGAAAATATGCTTTCTATGACTCTACATATCAGCAGACTTCACTTCTTTTGCTAAATGTTATTTTTTAAGCTTTAGGATGGATTTTTCAGCCCATTAATCATCTTTGTCTATTCTGTACTTCCTGGTCTTATGCATTTATTAGTTATAAATTGGAACACTTAAACAGAGAAATACTAACAAAAATCTCACTTTTAAGGCCAAGCTGGTGGCTCATATCTGTAATCCTAGCTCTCTGGGAGGCTGAGATGGGTGCACTGCTTAAGCTCAGGAGTTCGAGACCAGCCTGAGCAAGACAGAGACCTCATCTCTACTTAAAGTAGAAAAATTTGCTGGTCATGGTGGACTATAATCCTGTCACTTGGGAGGCTAAAGCAGGAGGATTGCTTAAGCCTGGGAGTTTAAGGTTGCTATGATCTATGACTCCCATGGCACTCTACTCAGTGTGATAGAGTAAGACTCTGTCTCAAAAAAAAGAAAAAATAAAATAAAAACCTCACTTTTAAAAGCATTGTACAATCTCAGTACAATCTTTCTACTATTTTGTACAGTGCTTTGCATTTCTTTTTTACTATTTTCAAAGCACTTTCTTATTTATGTTCTTATTTTTATATTAACTCTATGAAGCAGATGGCTATTTTTTCCTATTTTGTGCCTAACCAAAGTAAGCTACAGACACATTGACTATACACAATCATATCACATAAATCAAAAGAGAACTCTTTAAATTTTTCTCTATGCTGTTTTTTTTTGAGGGTGTACAGAGTCTGCTCTGTCATCCTGGGTAGAGGGTGGAGGGCTGCAGTGATGTCATCATACTTCATGGAAACCTCAAATTCCTGGGCGCAAGTAATTTTCTTTCTCAGTCTCCTAAGTAGCTGGGACTACAGGCACACATGATCACATCTGGCTAATTTCTATTTTTGGTAGAGATAGGGGCACACTCTTACTGAAATCAGACTGATTTCAAACTTCTGACCTCAAGCAGTCATCTCCCACATTGACCTCCAAGACTTTTGAGATTGTAAGCATGAGCCACTGCACCCAGCTCTCTGTGATACTCTTCAAAAAATCCTAATGTCTTAATATATTTTTTAACTTCAATATTAACATTTCATATTACGTTTAAGCTTTAGAGCCAGTTATACTTAGATGTTTTTTTGTCACTGCATTATAAGATGTGTTATCACATTTTACATTTTCTTTTAGGTGACCTTATTTTTCTTTCCTCTTTTCAGTTTGTCATTGCAAAAACTCTGACTTAAGTGTGACTTCATTTTAGTCGTTTTTTTTTTTTGAGACAGAGTTTCAAGTTGTCACCCTCCGTAGAGTGCTGTGATATCACAGCTCACAGCAACCTCAAAATCTTGGGCTTAAGCTATTCTCTTGCCTCAGCCTCCTGAGTAGCTGGGACTACAGGTGCCTGCCACAACACCTGGCTATTTTTTGTTGCAGTTGTCATTGTTGTTTAGCTGGACTGAGCTGGGTGAACCCGCCAACGTTGGTGTATGTGGCTGGCGCCGTAAACACTGTGCTACAGGTGCCGAGCCTCATTTTAGTCTTTCAGTTGAATATTTTGTAGATCTTTTATATTTGGATCCTCCTTGCTCTCAATGAGCATATATTCATCACTACTTTCTGGGAATTGATTGTATTGTTGTTGATTGTATTGTGGAGAAATCTACTGAAACATTTTCAGTACATTTTATCTGTTGAAAATTAATCTTTATTTATTGTTAAATAAATTTTAAAACCTCTTTATGTTTTTAAAAAATCCTGTTATCTTTTATTGAGCTTAATAGTAAAAAAGAGAATTTTATCAGTTCATATTATCTTCTGTTTAATTTAAAATATAGCTAGAAATGTGTCTTCAAAAGTAATAATGGGCTAGGCGCCTGTGGCTCAAGCAGCTAAGGCGCCAGCCACATACACCTAAGGTGGCGGGTTCAAATCCCCAGCCCGGGCCCACCAAACAACAATGATGGCTGCAACCAAAAAAAAAAAAAAATGGCCAGGCGTTGTGGCGGGCGCCTGTGGTCCCAGCTGCTTGGGAGGCTGAGGCAGGAGACTCGCTTGAGCCCAGGAGTTGGAGGTTGCTGTGAGCATGATGCCATGGCACTCTACCCAGGGGGATAGCTTGAGGCTCTGTCTCAAAAAAAAAGTAATAATGGAAGAAAAACAGATTATTTGCACAATTTTAACTCTGTAAATAAAAAATCAATTGCTATTATATTTTGAACTTTCACAGTATTCTGGGATTTTTATCACAATCTTAAATTTTGATTGAGTCCCTTTGGGAACTGAAGGAATAACATCTAAAATCTGTATTTATCTGTTGCTTTGTATTATTTTGGGGACATTTAAACAAATTTAGATAAATTAAAAGAAGTTTTCACTTTTTTCAAAACTTTTTCCATATACATTCTCAAACTTTGTTTTGCTGCATTTCTAGTAAAAAATAATACATGTAGGAATTTCAAAGTATTAGTGGTTGAAAAGTTGTGTATACTTGAGTGTTGGGCCCCATTCTTGTCTCTAATTCATAACTATTACTTACTCTTCATTTAAATAAACACAAAGGCTATGTGGATCAGGATTTGAAAATTAGTAATTTCTTTTTTTTTTCTTTTCTTCAAATAAATAAGGAAATAATCAAGAGATGCTGAAAACATCCAGGAAGCAGTTAACTTCCAAGCTGCTATTCTGCTATTTCTTCCACTTAATTATGCTGCCTTTTTAGGGTATCCTACGCTTACATCCTGAAAAGTTCAGAAAATACAAATTTGGGGGATGGAGTTCATGTTAAGTACCAAATATTTAATTTATCTCCTCATAAGTGTTGTAGGCACGGTAGCATGCCAGAGTAAAAGGCATAGTTGATGGCAGCAAATAGCTTATGCCCACCTTTTCTTGGAGAATGTTAACACAATAAAAAAAATATGTTTTATCTCAAATACAACCTCAAATTTGGCATTAGTTTGAGAGAGAGCTTATATTTTTGGCTTAGTTTGAGATTTTACATTTTTTAAATAACATGAAACTGGATCTTTTAATGTAAGTTTCCTAAAATTAAAACATGAAAACCTCTTACTGAGAGTTTCATTATTACCTAAAGTAATTTGAAGTGAAGTGGTGTAATGAAAGTATACTGACTCTGCTGTTCAGAAATACGGATTTAATTTATTGGCTAATCAGTCATAGCAGTTTTCTTAATCTGTTTTCTTGCTTAATAAACAATTAAATGATTCAGTATATCTACCATACTTATTAGAAGACCTGATGTGGAAGTTATTATAAATGTTATTTTTCTGCTTCCCTCCCTTCTGCACTGTTAAACTCATCTCATTCTGTTTCTGCTCTAAAGGATATAAATTCCTGACTATTCTTAGATATGATTTTCCAATTTATAAAGCCACATATAAACATTTATGTGTATGTTTATATATAAAAATAATTATGTATATAAATACAGAATCTGACTTTTGCATATGCAAGAAAAAGACATGCCAAGAACTGTGAGGTTTCTTTTTTCTCAAGTTTAATGACATGAAATAACTTTTAAGTTTCCTCCTATATATTCTAATATATAATAGAGTACTGTAAATTGCAAAGCTGGTAGGAACCACATTCTTTTCTATTTTTCAAAACTTCCTCAAAATTGGTTTAAGGAAAATCTATTCTGCCACTAATTATTTATAAAATTTACATGGTCCAAATATTTTTAACATAGTAAATTCTCTATACAATAAAACTATTTTCAAATTAGTCTAAAAATCATGATAGAAAATTGAGTAATGACATAGCTATTACATTGAGAAAGGCCTGCTGATGAGGTTTCCTTTAGTATTTTACCTCTTTGGATTATTTTTTATGATAAATTATTCAGTGACTAAAAGGAAATTTTAGAGAAATATACATTTTTGATCCACATGTATTCATTATTGAATAATGAAACATTCTCTTCAGTTTTATTTGGTAATTGATCTATTTTTGTTTGAATCATTTTCCCAATATTTACTCATTTCTTTCTTTCAGAAAGAATTTATGGTTGGATTTTTTAACTAAAATGCCTTTTGAGTAGTATACACTATAAAACTGACCCTTTATCTAAACTATAGTTTAAAAAAACACTAAATTTCTAATAGTTTCCTTGATCATATAATATTACAGAGAATGAATATCATATAAGGCATAAGTGAATTTATGTATATATTGAGTCAGAGTTTTATAATGAGATATTTAAAATATTTGGTATATTTTTCTTTTGTGATACCCATATAATTAAAATTACCTCTTTCCTTGTAATTACTGTCATGTACTAAAAGGTAGTTTAATTTAGTTGTAACTACATTATGAGATGTTTATTACTCTGAACACCATCCTTTTGGAAGCTGTCTTAGTGTTCAGTGAATACTAAAGCAAGGCTTCTTTCTAGCTTCATGTATACTAAAATTAATACTAATTTTAATTTTTCCCTTTGAGAAACAGAGTAATGTAAAATCCAGTACACACCTTATCTAAGTTTAGATAACCTGTAATAGCTATAAGCTAAACATTGAAATGGTTCTATTCGTTCTACAACTGTTCCTTTTTCCTGCCTTGTACAATAATTTTTTTGGTTTAAGTCTTTTTCCTAGACATTCCTATCCTTGACTTTTCTTTCCAGATTTTGTTTCCTAGCCTGTTTGCCATGTTTCCCTTCTTACGTGTCAGGAAATTATTCTACCCTTCTCCATTTTGGTAAGATGAAAATTTATGAAAGAAATTAAAATAATATTTTCAGTATAAATAGGTGGTACACATTTTCTTTGTAATTTTACCAAAAGTGTACATGTTTGTCTGTGTATTTATTCTAACCCTTTTGGTTTTCCATTTCTAAATAAATGAAATTCATTAAAAATTTTTTTTCCTTATTAGTGTTAGATAGTTTTTTTTAAAATTGGCAACCAGAAAAATCAGTTTGTTTTTCTCCGTAAATTGGATATTTCATTTTGATTTTTAAAAATTCCATGTCTGGCAACATGCAAAAGTTTTAAGTGGTTGGCAGAGTGACAAATGTGATTCTGAGAGTTAAGTGATTTTCATGCTTTTTATGTAACATGTACGGTGTAAATCCTTTGTTATAATTCTTAGTAAATTTAAAACCACTTAGATAAGTCTTGAGTCTAAGATGTGCACTTTTCCATTTTACTAACCTGATGGTTTAAATGGAGAACCTGAGAGAGTTTTAGAATAGTAAAGTCATTTGTCTCAGTGTTGTAGCCCCAAACTGGACATACAGAAGGTATTTCACATGAGCATGGTGTATAATTTTGTAAATCTATGTTTTATTTACCCTTTGAGTTTCTTTATCTCTTTGAGAGTCTTTATTTTTTTTTAATGTTATTCTATTTGTTTTTCTTTCTGCAAGTTGCTTAAATATGCATTTGAAAATAATGTCTACAGCCAAAATGATTGGATTGTACTTCTTAAGGTTTATTTTGTACATTGTCAGTGAAAACTTATCAATGTAAAAGGTAATTTTTAACCCTTCAGACTTGACATATTTTAAACATCTTTTTAAACATGGATTTATTTGTATTTGCAAATAAAAAGACATTTAAATACATATTAAAATTTAGCCTCCTTCAGATTTATGATGCATTTTCCTTTAAAGTCACCTATTATAGTTCATTATATTTTATAATTACTTATAGACGTTTATACAAAGACTCAAAAATTAAACAGCATACTGAATGTCTATTTTGATGAATTAGCTTAGTGACTTGATCAAAGATAGTACACACAATGTAACTGATGGGAAAAAAATCTAATAGTAGTCAACAAATAAACTTATAGTTGTTATAAAACGCATATTGCCAAATAGCAATGCCTCTTTTTCTCTTACCTTTGTGTCCTCCATCCCTTAAAAAAATTCTCTAAATTACTTTCTCCACGAAAATTGATAAATAAACTTTAAGGATAGTGTTGTGCATCTTTAGATCTCTTTTAAGAAATAAAAAATAACTCAGTTGGGACATCTGAATCCATGTTAGATAAGCAAATGGTAATACAAAAAATAAAATCCAGACCTAAAACATTTTGGCTGTGGTTAATATGCTGAGTTTGGAGTCTGGGCTAAAGAAAGATTGTATTGACAATGGAACTACCTGTAGTTTGCTCTTAGGCTTTTTCGTGTCATATGTAGATATCTGGCTTCAGAGTTAAAGAAATTAGCAAGATTTTCTGAATTATCTAGACAAAAGCATGCCATTGTTTTAGAGATAGGAATTACTTGGAGTTATCTTTAAACCCAAGTTATTCCATCAAAAGACATTAAGCTTTCGATGGCAAGGAAGCAAGTTGGTAATTTATGTAACATTTTTCCTTCCTATCTGATTAACCTTAGATTTAGGACTATTTTATGATTCCTGAACATGGTAATATTTAAGCAGAGGGGCAGCGAACTAAAAAGTTTTGAGTACCAGCTGCAACATACTATACATGTACATATACATAAATAAAAGCACATTAAATCATTCATTGGCTTAACATTGAGAAATGTAAATATATTGCAGCGAGGTGGCAGATACAGTTGAATCCATAATATTTGAATATTAGTCCACGACTTGAAGTTTAAAACAAATTTTACATGTAAATTTTCTGATGTTGTAATTCATGAGTTTAAGAACTTTTTTTATAAACAGGAGTTTACGATGACAACTTATTAAGCTACAATTTATAGTGTAGATTTATCTTTAAGAAATTTTTGTTGACATCTGAGTCTATTGAAAATGGAACTTTATATTAATAAAGTCAAAAACTATAAAATGTATCAGGTAAAGAGAATTTTTTTTAAGGGGAAATGTTTTCCAAATGCATATGAAAAGCACAGATCAATTTGTGAGTCCTTCAAAGTAGTGGTTTTTTTTTTTTTTTAATTTATACTTTGTCCAAACTCTGAAACATTATTTTTTACCTTTTAAGAGTACAGTTACATAGATGATGTTTATTTTTATTCTCTAGATATTATAAATTTTGATGACATAGCTTCCTCAGAAAACTTGCTTCATCTCACTGCAAATAGACCGAAGATGCCTGGAAGAAGATTGCCTGGCCGCTTCAATGGTGGACATTCTGTGAGTTATACTTATTGACATAAGATAGAGGATGTAGGAAATGTAGAGTCCATCTAAAGGTAAAAATAAAAGAGGATTTATAGCTCCATCTAAGTTTAAAAATCAGGACTATAGCTGTTATACTCAAGTGGCAGATGCTGGTATTTAGGGAGATACAGGGAGAGAGATAAGTTCATTTCAGCAGGGTCTGGAATGGAATGTTGCAGAATCAGAAATAAGCAATTGTCATGAGGACAGAACACAGGGTCAAAGAGAGAACCTGTTTATCTGTCCAACGATAGTTTATCCGTCCAACTTTTGAGCAGTAGGTACCCATTTTAGGAAGGATTGAGAAAATTGTTTTCACCTGAAATATTCAGTGTATTTATAGTACTTGTTTTAGCATTAAATGCATACATTTTTTAATGCCTTTTCTACATTGCTAGGAATAGTGGTGGTACTTTAATGTTAATATACAGTAGTAGTGCTTTTAAATTATCTAAATGGAGAAAATCTTTGTTGCTAAGAGGCAAGCCATTTTTGCCCTCAAGATACGCATATGTGTTGTTCAGCTTGAAAGTTTGTAATATCCTATAAAAGAACAATAGCAGCTGAAAAAAAAGCCATAAAAATTACTTGTTCTATTACCAATATGCTTATTATCTTTTTCTTCTTTGGTCTGTTCTGTCTCTTCATTTTTAAAAAATCATTTAGCCAACTCAAAGCCCAGAAAAAATCTTGAAGCTACCAAAAGAAGATAGTGCCAACCTAAAGTTGTCTGAATTTAAAAAGGATACATGCTATTCTTCAAAGGTGAGGTGTATTGTGGTTTAAGATTTGTGTAATTTGTAAATTCTGTGTGAACATCACAATTGTGGAATTTAAGGTGCTCTTTAAGAATCATTTCTTCTGTCAAGACATCAAATAATTCTTGCTGAAAGTTGAGTTATTAAACTTTAGCCACAGTGTTCTTTGCACACCTTTTTTAGAGTAGCTTAAATTATTTTAAATGAATAATATATGTTACATATTTTATATGATCTAAGTTACAGATCTGTATATCTGTTTCATTTTCTCAAAACATACACTGGTAAGGTCAGAAATCATCACTTGTATACTTCTTACCTGGCTTGGTGTTTAGCACCGTAATTAAGCATTCAGTGCATACTGGAATGAGTGCCAGAACATTATATATCTATCCATGCATGCATGGTTTTATCACAGTTGACACACATTTTAAAAGGTCATGTTTCCTCTTAAATTCCTCATCAGTTTTCCTTCAGGGCATTTTTGGCTGCTTTTTCGGTTTATTAATATATCTAATCTGATTCTCTCAGCTGTCATCAGTCTATTGAAATTATACTAGAGTGACTTGCTATTGTTTTAGTGAAATGCCAAAAGAATGCCAGGCTTGTTTTAATTCCTTTTTCATTAACTTAATAATATAATTCCTCATAATTACTTTTAAGTGAAACTCTTTTTTTTGAGACAGAGCCTCAAGCTGTGCCCCTGGGTAGAGTGCCGTGGCATCACAGCTCATAGCAACCTCCAACTTCTGGGCTCAAGCGAGTCTCCTGCCTCAGCCTCCCAAGTAGTTTGGACCACAGGCGCCCACCACAATGTCCGGCTATTTTTTGGTTGCAGCCATCATTGTTGTTTGGCGGGCCCAGGCTGGATTTGAACTCACCACCTTAGGTGTATATGGCTGGCGCCTTAGCCACTTGAGCCACAGGTGGCGAGCCTTAAGTGAAACTCCTTGTGGCTGGGCATGATGAATCATCTGAGCTTAGGAGTTTGAGAGCAGCCTGAGCAAGAGTGAGACCCCATCTCCAAAAAAAAAGAAAAAAGTAGCCGGACATTATGGCAGGTACCTGCCTGTAGTCCCAGCTACTTGGGAGGCTGAGGCAAGGAGATGGCTTGAGCCCAAGAGTTTGAGGTTGCTGTGAGCTATGACACCATGGGACTCTACCAAGGGCAACAAAGTGAGACTCTGTCTCAAAAAAAAAGAAAGAAAGAACGAAAGAAACTCTTTGGATATTTTAAACAGTTAAGAATTTAATGGGGAAGAACAAAGTAGCATCTTAATAATGTTGGTACATACTTCCTTCTAGCTACCCTGGGCAAACCATCCATAAAATACACCTGATGATGGATTTTTTTTCTTTTTTTAATAAAGCCATTGTCATTTTCCACAAAAACTGCTAGTGATTACATATTTAATATTTGGTAGTCTGGTGGTTTTGCCAGTTAGGAACATCATACTGCTTTTTGAATTTCTAAATTTACTATTTATCTTGAAGTATTACTTTATTTGTTTATGTTCTTGCTGTTAAAGTCTTCTGAACTTAAATAAAATTGGAAAAACATTTTTTATTATGTTTTCAGCCATCTGTGTACCTTTCAACACCTTCAAGTGCTTCTAAATCAAATACACCTGTTTTCCTAACTCCATTAGAAATCAAAGCTAAACTAGAAACAGATGATGGGAAAAAAAATTCTCTGGATGAACTTAGAGCCCAGATTATTGAATTGCTGAGCATTGTAGAAGCACTAAGAAAAGATCATGGGTAAGTAGCCCTTGTTTGCTCTTATGAATACCACTTAACACATATGTAAAGAATTCTTTCAAACTGTTACCAAGTAAAGATCTAATCTGCCAAGTCTCTGGTATAGACAGATGTGTTTTCAAAGAAATTTTTATTAATCGCACTTTTCTCCTTTTAGCAAAATGCTTGAATTAAAAAAATGGTTCTAGGAGCTCCATCATGGAAAAGGTACATGTGTGGCTATAATTTTCGGGTAGAGGTTTTCTGGTTAGACATGGGTTAAATAGCTTTGAAAAGACCAGGAAAGCCATATTGTATTTTGGATCTGGTATATATCTGTGTATTTACAGTGAACTGACTTATTAGAGGATTTTGATCACTGTTTCTGTGCGTCATGGTAAATGATTTCTACTGTCTTTCTTTTAACTCTGGAAATTTTTGTTTGATACAGTATGTGGTGAGACATACCCTAATTGAAAATTAGGGACTTTTTAGATCTAAAATAAATTTGAAAGATCACCTACATCGGGCAGTCCCTCTCTTTTTTTTAAATGAAGAAATAGAAGATCAGAGAGGTAAAGGTATTTACTTAAGATCACACCATTCTTAAATGGCAGATCTAGAACTCAAAACACTGTGTTGTCTGTTGGTTTAGAGACATTTTCTGTAACCAGTAGTATTTGAATTTAAAACTTGTTGACATTTTAAGCATAATTTTGTAAAGTAGATAAAACAGATCAAAGAGCAGCTAATCTAATTGAACTGAGGGTGAGGGTGCTCATCCAGTGTTTTCCACTTCCCTTCTACAAGGATTTCTTGGAATGTGATGTAAAAGTTACGGCCAGAGGCCATGTTGCCTCTGAGCCTGGTTATGCTTCTTTCAATTCTGATCTGGCCTAGGATTCTTAGTAAAAACAATGTTGAGATTAACAGCATGAGGTATTTGGGGTTTGCAGAACACTTTTACTGTCTCTTTGATAAAAACAAAAGTGCCTCTTGAATGACGACTTAAAAATGTATTATGTAAGTTTATACATTACATATCTTATAGACACAGAGTTTGTAATTTGATACATGATAGGTATTTCTTGAATCTGCTTCCTTCAGCTTATCTGTTCTGAACATTTTTTCACAGATTCTGCAGCATACATATTATAAGCTGTAAGTTCATTTAGCAATATTTAAAGAGCATCACCCATGTATCAGAGAACTCTTCCTGATTTGTTGATTACATTTTTTGTTAACAATAGTACTATTTTAAATATACACATTGCCTGTAGGTACTTTTAAATGAGCAAAAGAATAAAATATTTCTGATTTATATGTATTTTAAAACATAGATATTTTAGAAACCTATCCAGAAGGTATTTTTAACATGAGTTCCTCTGGAAAAATGAAATTGGTGGCGATTTTTTAAAAAAAAGAACATCATCAGGAGAATAGGTATATACAGGGTGGCCATAAAGTTCATGTGCAATCACTATTTTTAAATTATACACGACCTTTATGGCCACCTCGTATATATGCTGGTGTATTAACAGAGAAATACTATTCAGCATACAGCAGTGGAAATAAATTAATTGTGACTATACGTATCAACATGAATTATCTAAAAATTGGGAGGAACAGGTCAGGTGCATATATACAATATTATTCCTTTTATATAAAGTTCAAAAGTATACTAAACCAGAAAATACTATTTTGTGTATGTGGTAAAATTAAAAAGAAGAGCAAGTGAATAATAAATACCATACATACAACTTTCCTGTGGAAGACAGGAGGGGAAAGTGAGGGTCACTTGGGGCATCGGAATTACTGGTAATATTTTATTTCTTAAGCTCACTAGGAATTCTTAGGCTTTTGCTTTAGTATTTTATCTTTTATAGCCTGTAAATATATAAATAATCCATATGCATTCAGTATTAAAAGGTAAAATACATAGACTCTGTCATTAAAAATTGAGGGAGATTGGCATAGAAGGATTGACATAAATACATCAGTAATCTGTGTCTTCAGTAGAAAAGTTTCAGAATAAGATATAGTTCGATTCTAGTCTTATAAAAAGAAAAGAGGATGTTATACAGAAATTATACATTTGTAAACATTTTTTAAAAGAACAATAAAAATGTAAGAGTGACAGTATCAGATCAAAAAGCAAATAGAGAAACACTATTACAAATGGAAACAAAATAGGACAGATATTCTAGAAATCTTTAGATCTAATTTAATGTGTAATAAACACTAATTATAGGATAACCAGAAGAGGAAGCATTATTTAAATTAGGGATACTTTAAGGAAATAGAAAGTTAGCTAAGATATACATACACTTTATACATTATATACTGTAATAAGCACTAGGTAAATTCGAGTTATTATTACTTTGAAATTTATAATCAGTAGAAAGCAGTAAAAAATCTACTTCCAATATGGAGAAATGATTTTCTTATTATTAAAGCCAGAGAAGGAATTAGTTTTCAAATATTAACTATATGAATAATTTTAAAAGTTCCTTCCTTATACACATATATTCTATCTTGGTGAATTTTTTTTACTTTCTCAAGCTGTTACTTCTGTAGTACTCTTAAAGAGAATTTTTCTAGTTTAAAGAGACTGAGAATGTTGACATTTTGGGGTTTAGAAATATGGTGTGTTAACATACATATGATGTTAAGTAAAATCCCCATTCCTTCCTGCTTCTTTCTATACCCAGAAAGACAAATACAACAGATAAAACCCTGGATATTTGAATGTCAAACAGCAGTTATTGCAAATATGAAACTTTAATAGCATGGACAATTTTAAAATAATTTGTGGAAAGATAACATAAAAATATGCTTATATTTATATAAGCTGTATAGAAAGAACACAAGGAAGAGAAAACATGACTTGAGGTAGAGGGATTATTGGAGTTTTTAATTTGTTTAGCTTTTGGATTTTTATTATTATTTTTGGTACAGTGTCTCACTTTGTCACTTTGGTAGAGTGCTCTGCTATCATAGCTCACAGCAACCTCAAACTCCTGGGTGCAAGCAATACTCGCCTCAGCCTCCCAAGGAGCTGGGACTACAGGTGCCTGCTACAATGCTGAGCTAGTTTTTTTTTTTAGAAACAGAGGCTGGTCTTGAATTCCTGTGCTCAGGCAATCCACCTTCCTTGGCTTCCCAGAGTACTAGGATTACAGGCATGAGCCACTGCTCCTGGCCCTAATTTTTAAACATAGAAAAAGAAATTTAAAGTCCAGTATATTTTACCAGATAAATTGTCATTTGCCTTGTATTGTAATGTGTTGATATTTATTTTACTAAATTTGTTGGGTTCTGGATGTCAAGCCTGGAACATGTATTATAGCTGAATGTGTAAAATTGCTTTGAAAAGCCAGGTATTATTTATTTCCTTATTTTATCATGAGCTTCTCTCAGTTCACTTAATTTCTTTACCTTAGGTAGGCTTACCAGGGTTTTACTTTATTTTGTAAGTGTTATATGGCACTGTTCAGAAATGGTTCTCAGTCAACATTGCTATTACTCTAGACAGCTTGTTAACATTAGTCAGGTAGATTGCTTAATTGAAAGATTTAACAACAATAAATACTTTATTTTCAGGAAAGAACTGGAAAAACTACGAAAAGATTTAGAAGTAGAGAAGGAAATGAGAAGTAATTTAGAGGTAATTAATTTTTTCCACTATAGAGATTTAAGTGTAAATTGTACATGTTTTTGCAGCGTGACTGGGTGGTTGGTTCCAGTACAAATTAAGCTGTCCTACCTCAGTTGGATACTCCTTTCTGGTTCATAGCCATTTAATTAATCTCTTGTTAACTCCCTGTCACATTCCAGTCATTTATGCAGTAAATATTTTTTGAGCATTAAACTTTTTTAGGCAGTATTTGAATCACAAGGGATACAGTCATAACAAATGTGATTCTTGCCTCCTAAGGGACTTTAGTTCTTCCTTGAGCGGTAGGTGCTTAACGTGGACATTTTACAGATTCAATTTGAGACCACTGAAGTAAAGTGAGGGTCACAATAAACAAGTCACAACCATTATTTTGGTTTCCCACTGATATAAAAGTTATGTTGACAGTATGAAGTAGTCTATTAAGAGTGCACTAGCATTATGTCTTAATAAAGGACAATGTATATACCTTAATATAAAAATATTTTATTGGTAAAATATGCTAACCATCATGCGCCTTCAGCAAGGTGTAATCTTTTTGTTGGTGGAGGATCTTGCCTCAGCACTGATGGCTGCTTACATGTGCTTGCTGAAGGGGTGGGGGGCTGTGGCATTTCTCAAAAATAAGACAACAGTGAAGTTTGCACATTAAGTGATTCTTTATGAACATTTTCTCTCCATATGTGGTGCCATCTATATATTTGATAGCATTTTACCCAGAGTTAGAACTGCTTTCAAAATTGGAGTCCTCAAATCCTGTTGCTTTGTCAACTAAGTTTATGGAATATTCAGAATCCTTTGTTGTCATTTCATTTGTATTCATAATATCTTACCAGGTGTAGATTCTATCTCAAGAAGCTGCTTTCTTTGCTAATCCTTAAGAAACAACTTCTCATCAATTCAAGTTTGATCATGAGATTGCAACAGTGCAGTCAGATCCTCAGGCTCCACTTGTGATTCTCAATGCTTTTTTTATTTCCTCCACATCTGCTGTTACTTAGCTACTCACTTGTATCATAATTTTTTTGTTTTTTTCCCAGTGGGCAAAGCTTTACCCCCCTGTATTTGTAAAAGCACATTTAAGGCATTAAAATTTTAGGATCATATATAAAAGAGAAAGATATTTCTCCAGAGAGTAAAAGTAGTACTTTGAACTACTATAATGTTAACATTATACATTATTAAATTATACTGGGGAGTGATAAGAAGGACTAAAAATGAACAACATACATGAAAGTGCAAGAAGAAAATGTCTAGCAGTTGTGTTGCCTGACAGTTAAGTAGTGGTTTGTAAGCAGTATTAGTGACTTTGTATGCAGTGGCGCCCTTCCCTCCCCCTACTTTGTCTTCTACCAGTTATTTTTTCTTACTGTTTTCCCATTAAAATTGATATAGTTGGTTAATGTTCTTTGGAAGAAAGATAATAACATATGTGCATGATAAATTAAAGTATTTAATCTCAATTCACCTGGAGATGGAGGCTTTTCCTAATCCAGTGCTGCTGAAACAGTCATATTAGTAAAGAATCACATCAGGATAGATCCAGAAATTAATAAACTGTTTCTGGATGATAAGAATTCCTTAGGAGATTGTGAGCCTATCAAAACGAAGCTTTTGACCAGGAAAGTCTTCATAATTTAATAACGAACCACCTGTCAGAAGTTAGCCAAAGCATGTAATGATTTGTGCACTGTTGTGCCCATCAGGGGAGGGCAAGATTTTAGATATTTCTGAATGGTGAAAGGTCAAGATGATCAAAATATTACAGGATTGGGAAGAGAATCAGTACAAGAACTCCAGTATAAGTTGTGTGCTACTTACAAGTGTGGGAATATTGGCGAGGTATTTCATGTCTTTGAGCATCAACTTAGCCATTTCTAATATGTCAGAATTGAATACTGTGTGTCCTTATTGTGAAAATTTCATCAACTAATTTCCTTTTTTAAGTTCCTGAAGTTATGAATTTCAGTTAAATGAAAGATGCCTTCTGTGTAAAGGTGGAAATACACAGAAGGCATTGACTGAACCTGAGATGTATCGCTGGGCTTTAAAGAGAATTTGATTTATTACATACTATTTACAGATAAGGAAATTGAAATTAAGTGACTTTTCAATATCACATAAGTAATTAGTTAAAAACATTATACTAAATGAATCCTTTGTTTATTCTTTTTACTATTCTATAATGTTCTTTTTTGCTTAATTACAGATTCATGGACATTTCTTATCAGTAATTTGGCTTCAAGGATTCTTTTGTTCTTTGTAGAACGAATTTTCTTATAGCTGTCCTTTCAGATGTTCACATTATTTAACACCGTTCTGGCTGAAAGAACTGCAGGTGTTTTTTTCCTGTTATCACTGCTGTTTAAGAACTTGCATTGTGACATTTTCTTCTGTTGAATCTTGATTCAACAATATTTTTTACACCACAGGAAATTAGATTTGGAAATAAAAATCTTGATGCTTGAAAGTATGATTATATCTTAATTATATAGAGTAAAATAAAGATACTTTACTAAAGTAAGGATATTTTGTTTCTCAATTTGTGTTTTGTATTTTAGGTGGAAATAGAGAAGCTGAAAAAAGCTGTCCTGTCTTCTTGAGGTGATGTGGACCCAGTGTGTTCTTAATATTCCAGGGATTCAGAGGCAACACTACGAACTTCAGCTGACTTATTACTTAGCAGTTATGAATGCTGGTGTTGTGATAAAGAAATACGATTGTATGAACTATAATATCTATAAAAAAGTAGAGGGTGAATTTATATATATATACATATATATATATATTTTGTTTTGCCAATAAAAAAAGAGGCCTTATTTCTTACTGTGCTGGGATTGCAAACACTTTTTTTAAATTTGTTTGCTTAAAAATACTACTGAATCTGTATAAAAAGGAAAGAAAGTTCATAGTAGTTTTTATATTGAAACTCATATTATTTTTTAAAGAGATCTATACTATAAATATGGTGATATCTTTAAAAATCTGTAAGATATAGTATTTGAGAGGGACAAATCAGCTTTTTAGTAACTATAGTCACTACTTTTCCCACAATGCATAAGGGATATAAACTTGGTGAGAGAGTGTGTGTGTGTTTTTACTTTTAGCCTCTTACCAGGATTACACTGTCGTGCCTGTTTGTCTGCAGTGCTGTTTATATTGTGGGTGATGACATAGGAGTTTCTTGCCTATAAACCAGATTATTCACCCATGCATATGGTAATAACTAATGAAATAATCAATATAATTTCTTCAGCTTTTAGAATATTTTATATTGCTTGCACTATAGGATTCATAAAAGGAATTAAAATTAAATATATTGGATTGTTAAACACATTTGGGAAAATATGAGGTTTATTTTAAATTCATTAGGCCCAAGGAATCTAAAAATGTTCATTTAACCCTAACTTGTGCCTAGAAACTACAGCACATGTGAAATACACAAGCACCAGCTTTCCTGCTTTACTTTTCTGCTTATTTTATAATCTCAAATGTTACGCAATTCATTATTTTGTGATTTGATTCATGTTCTTCCTCCTAGTTTTTAATAATGTTAATATTAAGAAAACAAAACTTTTCAGAACTTCAGTGTAAGATTTGATACTTTGACAAGCTCTATCATCCTGTAAATACTCAGGTTTTGTACCAAATAGACCATACTAACTTGGGAGAGATATTTTGAACTGTTACTTGGGTCCATCTTTATAAAGAAAGTTAGTATGTCATAAAATCTAACATTACAGCTTATTTAAAACCAAATATAGTTGACCATATTCAAAATACATTTTCAAAAAATAGATGAATTAGTAGTTTCTTCGGAGTGACTTATGAATAATTGAACATTTTAAAATGTTACATCTGTAGGTAATATGTTATACCTGGAGGTAAAAACATGGGTGGGTTTATTTAAAATTTTTAAATTGAGATTATTTGCAAAAGAAATAGATTTTAAGCTTCATTATGCCAAATGAGTATCAGATTCTGAGTACCAATTATCATGCTTTCATTTTTTTGTTGTTTTAAACCACCAATATTTTCCCTTTATATTTAACCTTATAGAAATCTTGTGTAAATGAAATGTCGTCATGTTTCAAATAAAAGAGATCTGAAGTCGAAAATAGTAATTGATAGAAACACCAGTACACAATTACAGAATATTTAATTTTTAACTCATACTAGGGTTTGGGGGAATGCTAATTGTGTATTAAAAATTTGCATACATTTGTATTCAGAATACTCAAAAGTATTTGGACTCTTCTAATGAGGTCATTACTGAACAGAATTACTCCTCTCTGGCCTATTTTTAGATTACTAGTCAAATTAATGATTTTCTTCCTGGTCAAATACATTAAATCTTGTGTTTTTTTTTTTTTTTTTTTTTTTTTTGTTTGTTTGTTTGTTTTTTTGGCTGGGGCCAGGCTTAAACCTGCCACCCCTGGTATATGGGGCCAGCGCCCTACTCCTTGAGCCACAGGCGTCGCCCTAAATCTTGTTTTTTTATAAAAAATGGCAGTCCTTAAAACACTGTATCCTAGAAACCATCCTCTATCTTCCTCAGTGAAAAACCTTAATAATGGGTAAGAGAAGGTTCCATTAGATTTCAGACTATTCTTAAAGTTTTTCTTGGTCATTTTCTCACTAGCAAATAAAATTAAGATGGTCATGAGTATTGAAATATGTTTAAAGTTTTTTGCTTGTATACTCCTCAATCAGAATAGAAAAATAATTTAAATACTATATATATTTTTCTGCCCTTGACAGAATAATAAAATAAAACCATAATGAACTAAAAGGGAAAAATTCCTTTATTCTAGCAATTTACTATTTGCTTTTGATATGGAAACTTTTATTAATTTCTATTCCTAAAGTTCATATCACAAAATGATATGTAATGGCAAGAGCTTTAGGGGTAATTTTTTTCTACATGTGAGTATAATTAAAAGACTAAAGGTGAACAACATGGAATCTGTCATTGCCAAATTATTAGTGACTCCGTAGTTCACGTTTCCTATCCTTTGAAACACAATATTAATTTCCCAGTTGTATTTCAGTGTTATTTTTTGTGCGTGACCACTATGCTTCTGTTTTATTGTAAAGCTATTTCCGCTTTACAGAATTTGTGTCTGAAAATGTAAAGAGAGAATAGGCCTTGTGTGATGGAAGATTCTCTTTTTTATGCTCCTAACCATGATCACAGGAAAAAAAAAAATCAAAGTGCTCTCTGGATATTTTGATAAAAATTTTATGCATGCATTTAAACTTGAAATGTATGAGCAGAATGAGACAATCATTTAAATCAGAAATGAGAAGTATTGTAATGGCCTTGTTTTGCTATAGCAATAAGATGACCAAGTGCAATGACTTGATTTAATTAAATCATCTTTTAAAAGTTGCTGCTATGAATATTTTTAGCTATAAAATTTTACCCTTGTTTTAGCCTGACTTGCTTTCAATAACTATTATGTAATGCAGTTGATGTTGTGGTAATCTAACATTCCAAAAAGGTATGGGGAATTTTGAAGTACTATACTACGCTGACATGTTTACAGGTGCTGTATAAAAAGCATGCTTCTCCCTCAAAAAGAAAAAATAATAAATAATTGTATTGCCAATCGTTTCAGTCTTTATTGGTTGTTTTTATTAACTTCAGCATATTAGTTTGAATTTTCCAAGTTAAAGAAGCAATAAGTAAACTGAAAGCATTAAATGTTCTAGACCTGTTGACTTTTACTGAACCTTTCTGAATGTAGTTTTTTCATCTGAAACTGTTAGATAATAATTCCCACCTCATTGGATTATGGAAAGAATTTATCTGAAATGTCTTATAGAGTGCTTGTCATAGATAAGTTTTTAAAAATAAGGAAGTTCTGTTTTATGGTGGATTTTACAGTGATGGACGTAATGAAAATTAGATTGATAAAGTTGAGAAAAAAGGCACAGAGCTCCCCCCCTCCCCCACGACCTCTATTTTAAACATAGTGCCTTTTCCTGTGGGGAAATGCTCCCTTCATTTGAATTGTTCAGAAGCACATTGCTGCCATCTTACAGATTGTACCTTCCTAATACACAGTGGCGACCCCTAGAGAGAGTACTTACTTGGCTTAAATTGAGTTAATCAGAGAATGAGATTTTAAAAACTGGAAACAAAAAGAGCTATTTTCACCATACAGGTTCTCCACAGTTCTATTTTTCTGTCATCTGGAAAAAACCAACTTAAAAAAAACAAAATGCAATAAAGCATAAAGAGATGGAAATGGAATCCAGAAGGATTTTGAAACTGATTAGAATCATTCCTGAGCCTCTGCTATTCATTGCTTGGTTCCTCAAGCTTATAAGCTTGTTGAGTTGCTGAAATACAATCGGAAAAGTCCTGGAAAATACATACAACAAGATGACATGAGGACATCAAGGCGTACATACTCTTTACAGATAATGCGCTGCATAGTTACTCTAGGGCAGGCTTCCTAGTAGTGTGCTGTAAGATTGGAGGCAGAAGGGATAGGGTGCCACTATGACACAGTATGGGAAATAAGTGTCAGTCATTTAAATTCAAAAACTTAGAGCACAGCACAGTGGCTCACACCTGTATTCACAGCACTCTTGGAGGCTGAGGCAGGTGGATTGCTTGAGTTCAGGAATTCGAGATCAGCCTGAGCAAGAGTGAGACTCCTGTCTACTAAAAATAGAAAAACTAGCCTGGCATTGTGGCGGGTACTTGTTGTCCCACCTACTCAGGAGGATGAGGAAAGATGATTGTTTGAGCCCAAGAGTTTGAGGTTGCTGTGAGCTGTGATGACACCATGGCACTCTACACTGGACAAAAAATAAGCCTTGTAGATCTACAGTGGTGAAGTTTTGGACTCTAGAATTTATGTTTAAAGGGACATCAGATTGTCTAACCACTGTGCAGGTTGCTTTGTCAGAAGGGAATATTTGCAGGTTTAGTTCCATTTGAAGACATAAAAGCTGATAGCAGTTTTAATTCAGATGGGTCTGTTAGGCTCCATTACTTCCTAATTAAGATTCAAGAGATACTGGGTCTAGGTGTTAAAAATCTTTTCGGAACTGCTCACTGTTTTTGTTTTACTACTAGTATCATTGTGAATCTGCTGTTCCATATAAGGAAAATAAATTTCAGAATTAAATCAGTATTTTTTGTATAGAGCCGATATTTCCACTCATGGAGAGAAGGTGGTTATCATTTTGCAGCTATTGGATAGTATTCTTTCCTATTAGTGTCATCCTGCCCCCAGAGCAGGGTCTGCTAGGACCTGTGGAAACTGGCGGCCACCAATTGAAGAAATAAGTTAGAAACTACGGTAACCTGAGACACAGTAGAATAAAAGGTGGGAGCTCATTGCCCGTTTGTGGGCTTCTGGCAATGAATGGCCCTGAGTGTTTGCTCTAGTCTGTTTTTATTGAAGTCTGTTTGCCCAGAGGGTAAGATGAGGGAGGGAACAAAGACATCAGCAGTTTCTCTGATTGAGCATATCAACTCCTGTTGTTAATTAACGTTAAAGGTAGCCTTGAGAAATGTGAAATCTGAGCCTTGTATTGGGAGAGCCTCCCGCTTGACGTCACACACAGATTTCTAGGGAGGTGTTTAAACTCCACTAGTAAAACACCATTGGCATTAATCTCTGAGGAATCGACGGGAGGGAGGCATTTCCCTCCCATGACCACCACAGAGGATCTTCCTCTGCAATAAGGATATAAGCTCTTCTGCCCATATCTCAGGGCTCCAGCTATTCCCTTGATATCTGCCCCCCGACCCCGGGCAAATGCAAATCTCCACAATGGGAATCTGCTTTGCCTGTTCACTAGGCAGGGGACGACCCAGTATCTTTCTACGTCTTGTCATAGTCTCTTCTATGGCCATTTTTCCTCAGACTCCTCACAGACCCAGCAGGGGTATTTGTAATCTGTCTCCCCAACAGGCTAGAATTTCAGAAAAGGCAGGAAGCTTGCTAACAATGGCTAGCTTAAATGTAAACTAGCTGACTTTCCTTTGTCTTGACTCACTCGGCTTACTTTTTAATTTTCCTCTTTTACTGGGGGTGCTTTCCCTTGCCAAGAATGGGGTCTTTGGTCCCCATTCTCCCAGCAATTAGGTTCCAAGTGTCTTTTATTAGCTACATTCCAGTTTGTTTAAAGTTGTGTGGATAAAGTTATTAAAACAATTTTAAGTGCACTGAGTAATAATTTTTTAATAAAGGAAATTATTAACTTTTCATAGTGTAGTGTTGCCCCAGAAGATCAACTCAAAATAAGGCAGTTAAGAGAAAGATTTATTTACCATGTGCGGGAAAGTCAGATTACCCCATATCCCAATGGGATCTGGAAATTTACATACACTCATGTTAGAGGGAAGGGGGAGATGAGGTATATGGGAAATTCTGCTTGGAGGCAGTAAGTGGTTGCTGGGAGGATGCATAGACGACACATGGGAGA